GGAGATCAAAAGTTAAAGATATATCATCTCTACGGTCTGAAAATTTTGATATTAATACCCTAACTATATCATCTATTTCTCTAGCATTGGCAATTTCTATAGCATATTTAGCATTATCATATAGTTTCGAAAAAACTGCGCTCCTAATAATTTCGTTTTGTATACAAGTCGGATTACTACTGTCATGATATCTACTCTTGATTTCCCTAACTCTTGAAATAAATGAATTTAGTTCTGCGGGGTTACCGCCAAAACTTGGGATAGTGTCGATCAATATATGATCAAATTTGGGGATGTTTTGAATGGACATATTTGCTAATGAGTTTGCTAAGTTCTCTATAAAATCAATACCAATTTCCATAAACTAATTCGCGTACGTGGAATTATGTTTCAATGGAATGCAAAAATAAAATAAATTTGTATATATATTATTTAATCAATTAATTAATTAAGAAAAATTTAAACTGTAAAAATTGCTTTCTTATCTCCAGCGATTGAAGGATAAGGGAGGATGGCAATTTTACTATCAATTAAAATTTTCACTCACCAGTTCCAGATGTTTTGGCGAATTTCCTCTTCGCACTTTTTTCACACAATATATATATTTTTTCACTTGCACTTTTGCACACTATGAACTACAATCACCTTTGAATTGATTGGAAATCCTGCGATAGACCTTTCCAAATTCAATCCTATTGATTTTTCTATCACTTTTACTAATTATTGGTTCTGAATTCTAAATGATTGAAATCAATGGATATCTGCGATAGACGATCCCGAATTCAATCCTACCGACTGCGCCAATTTTATACTCGTTATTCGAGAATAAAATAAAAAACTTTATTTCTTAAAATTACAATAAAATATATAAAATAACTGAATTTTACAATATAATGATATAATGAATTATATAACTGGACTGGTGTAAATACTGGCAAAGATTATCCTCATCGAATGTAGAGATCTTGCTACTTATATAGTTAAAAATATGCTTTATCAGCAAGGAGGATCTTGTGGCTAGATATAAGCTATGTCAGCGGGATGGATCCCGTAACTCGCTGTAAAGCAAAGCTTGCGACAGGGCCAATAATTGTTCAAAAAGCAGAATATTTTGGCTAAGATTTTAGAGTTTTAGTGTATGTAGTTATTCTAATAATTGGCTCACAAACTAAGTTTCGACATGGAATTCAAAGACTTGACGTAGCTGGAACAAAAATTTAAGCAAACCTAACCTTTAAAGACAAATACAAAAACAAGTTCAAGAAATTCCTAGATGATGATTTAACTCCATACTAGCTGAGGAAAAGAATAAGCAGCCATGCGTTAATGACTGCCGCCCCTTTAAATACTGTTTTTCGCCACTTTGTAGTTTAATTATTGTACTTTGTTGTTTGTATTTGTAGTTTTATTATTAACCGTCATTACTGCTCGATGATTTCGGTTAATTGTTCTAACTTTCAACAGAACATCAAACAAATGGGCCAAAGTATCGCAATCACTGATAAAGTATCCATTATGCAAGAATTGTTGAGAGCTCGTGATAACCCGCACGCACACTTATAAAATATAAGACAATCTCACTGTATAAAATAAAGTACAGCTAAATTACACAAATATAAAGGAAATTTCAATAAAAGATTTCTAAGATCATAATACTATATTCGCCTAAATTTCTTTAATAAAAAATGGATAAGTTCGAAAAGTTCTTAACCCTTTAGTTACGAGAGCCGCATATATGCGATTTACGCAAATCATAAAATTGGCCCGTGAACTCATAATTTTGGCGAAAACAGTTGATACAGCTGATAGAGACAAAATCAATGTGAAGTAGTTAACAAGCAAACATTTTATTTATCCTGTGGAAAATAAGTGTATATAAATATAATAAGTCCAGAATTTGAATTGGAGTGAACAAAAACAGCCGTTGCACAGAAATTTGCGTTGGCAAATTTAAATGACTATGGCACAATTTGTCCTTATAAAGAAACATTCAATGATTTTAAAGATACATATATGTAAAGTGTAAAGTAAAATCGAATTAAACTTATTACAGGATACCCAGTAATAAGCCTTACTTTGGCTTTTTATGACAGACCACAACTCAAGATGTTAAGCACCAACATACACAAAAATATGACAAACTTTTTCTGAACTTATTTGAAGAGCGATCGTTACAATAATCATTACAGCGATCATATAAGCATATAATGATATAAATACGACTTTTTCAGAAAACAAACCAATGCTTGTAATTTCTCTATTTATTGAATTTAATATTACAATCTATGTTATACTGATGAAGTTTTTATATTGATGCAATAATGTCGGAGACTATTTTCACTTGGAAACATCCTGCTATCTATATTTTCAAAAGACCTGGAACTTCCAACGAAAATGGAGTTACGGTCAAAAAATCTTTTCCTAATTGGAAGATATTTAAAACAAATTTCTCAACAGAGACTTATACTTCAATAAATAATAAAAATGCTTTTATACAACATAAATGTTATGTTATGTAAAACATAATATTTAAATATATCAACTATACAATAAATCATTAAAATTTATTCCAGTAATTATAATACTTAAAACTTTAATTTATGATTATTCATAATATTTGCTATATTATCAATTATTACAAGAATAATATAGATGTCTCAAAATTAGCAATGCAGATATAAAAATCTACTACTAAGATAAAACATCATTTGCTATTATTTATGTAAAGGAATTAGACTGATAGAGATCCTAGGTAATCCTAGGTAATGAATAAAAGTAGTTGCTAAACTTGCAATTTTATCATGAGTAACAAACCCCAAGATGTTAGTGAATATGAATTGTCATTCTCCACCTCCATCAATCAATGATCATGCTCTTATAAGGCATAGGTGTATGGTAATAACAGTATTGTTTGTATGACGTCCTTTTGACGTCTCGAAATCACAAATAACTTGATGAGTTTACTTTCGGCGTAGAATTGCGTCAGTCATCGACGCAGACTTCATTCAGAATCTGCTTGATAATTTTCAATTAGATAAATATTGATAAAACAGTTTTCATAACATAGAAAAGGGAAATTGGAAACATTGTCCGGAGTTCTATTTAGACACGCTCAACAATTACGTTTTTTATTTTATTTTATCTAAATGAATCAACCAAAACAAAAAAAAAATGAGTTAAGGTTTTAAGTTGAGATTTTTTTTAGCGAGATAACTTCATTATTACTAATAATTGTTAAATGTTATTGTACTAGATTCAATAACCTAACTTTTTTTAATCTTCCTGTCGGTAAAATATCTTGCATAATATGATTCATATAATTTTCAATTCAATATATTCTACATCATTTATATTTTTTTATTTAATTAGGTCATTGGGCAATTTCTGGATATTGGCAGAAGTGACTTACTGCCACATATGCAGAAAAGGGATATGTCTTGAAACATGTGTTGCTGTTGATAAATTATAAAAATATGTTCTAACGAATTTATAAATAATCTGCAATGCTTTTTGTAGTACCTACTGCAACTTTAATTTCGATTAGACCAGCGATATCTTTTACTAAAATAAAGTTAATTGCAAAATTTAAGCGAATAGAATTTAATACAAGGATTTGAAAGCGGAAAAAAGTAAACAAAAAATACGACGTAAGTTTTTCACTCACGGTTAGTAACTATAGCTAAAGATGGAATTAATTTAAAATAAATTCTTATTGTATCCTTAAATAGTACAAGGTTGGCAACCAAGCGCGTTTTTTTACTCTTAGATTGCTTCAAACAAGTCCTTAGTTTGCTGAGGTAGTCTATATGTAAAACACATTTTTTTTATTGTATAGTAAGAAATTCAGCTATCAATTAGTAGAAAATACATTTTTGATCGGTTATCGTGTTTTCGTTTAGCGTTCGTTAAAAGATTAAAAATTAAAACAAACATTATTATCATATTTTGCTATTTTGTTTCTGCAAAGGAAAAAACAATGATCCCATAGGTTAGGTGCTGTTTATGATGCTGAAGCCTTAGAAAATGTTAAAATTGGTTTGGAAAATGTCATTCTGGTGATTTTTCATTCAACGCTGCTCTGATTGTCCAGTTAAAGTTGTGGACAACTTAATTGAAGCAATAATCGATTCGTCTAATAAAAACAAATTGGCTATGTTTAAAAATTATTGGGGCTTGGTTGGAATGCTTCTCCACATCCACCAAATAGTCCTGACCTGATTGAAATCCTTGAATTAAAAAAAATATGATGGTGCCAAATTGTTCCTGGAAGTTTTATAAAAAAAGGATATTGATGCTTCTTGGAAGGTAACAAAAGGTCATCGATCAAAATGGTCAATACATTACAAAACAAAGTTATTTAATTTCGCGCAGAAATTGTCTTTGATTTTGTAACAAAATTGCGCATTTACTAAGTTGCCAACAATAACTACAAATTGCTAACAAAAATACGCACTTAGTTACCAACCTGATAACTACAAATTTCCGTTCTAGGTAAATAAAAAAGAAGATGTAACAAAAAAAGATATAAAAATTAGATATAACTTCATTTTTAGTTAAGAAAATATCAAGTAGCTAGGTAGATTCGTTAGGAAATGGCTTTATGAAGAAACTGAAACCAAATGCCCAAATGTAATCATATGTACAAATATTTGCAATAATTTATTGATAAAAAAGAAATAGACTTGAAATAACACAACGGAGACTTAAGCTTAAAACTCAGTAATCTAGAGCCTAGTATAAAATCTTATATTCGAGTGTATAAATTTATTTTTATATTATCTCATCAGAAAAATCATTTATAATATACAAAAGTGTATCAAAATCCTATTGCATATTTTTTATATTTTTTAATTGTATTACTGAATTGAAGTTATATTGTACTACACTGTATTTGTAGTGCAACAACATTGATCGATTAACAACTTCTTTATATTTGTTTATTTATTATTTGCCTTATCATTTGTTCATTCGTCATTTGAAATGTGAAGAAAAGATCTAACCTGCAGTTTGTGCTTGTTGAGCCTGGGCTGGTGCGCTAAGCAATGTGTCGGCACTCTGATGTTGGGCAGCAGCTTGGGCGGCTAGGGTTTTGCGCGGGTCATCCCATGTGGTCGTTCTGGTTACATGACTGCAACATAAACATAACATTAGTAAAAATCATTTACCAAGCACAGAGCGATAGAATCATTACAGCGAATTTTACTCAAAACCAATATAATAAACAATGAAAACATTTAATTAAACCTACTAATAATTTAAACAACTATTGGTTTTATATTACTTCATTGCATATAAATTTGTATTTCCTTAATTAGAGAACAGGTCAATAGTTATGCCCCATCGCTTAAGCCAAGGAAATAATACATCCTGAATAAATATTAATTATTATTATTCACTTGGTTTTCATCTTAAATGTCCATTTAAAAATATCTCAAACAGAAGTAAGTGAAAATACACTAACCTCGCCAGTTAATATGACACTCGTAATAAACATCTATTCTGTGATAGTTGTTTCAGTGAATAAAAAAATTTAACCGTGCCGAACAATTTTCATCCAATTTATTTTTCACTTATCAGCAGCTAATAAATTTATTTATTGCGAACCATGGTGCTGCTCGTACCAGTTGAAATTGAAAAAGTGAAGAAGAAAAAACAAATTACGAGTGAGGTCTGCGCAAATTGAGGTACAGACAGCGATAGGTAGTTTATGAATTTGCATAAAACCTAAGGAATGACGGGAATGCCGAGGTAGACCGCGTGTGAGATTCACCTTGAAGCCTTTTGCTCGGATATGATTGATTTCGAACTCGCGAAGGAAGATCGTCCGCAGGCATGCGAGGTAATACGTGATCGACTTAACCGCTAGGGTCAACATTTCATATCATTTTCATTTCGGCCTCCAGAGAATCACTTTTCACATTTTATTAGATAACTAGTGGTGCATGGCATCGTGCCTTAAAGCAAATTGCTGGAACTTCCCGTACCGTATTTTTTTGCCATTTTCGATTACTCAATTTTGATCAATTTTTTACTTCGCCAATACAAGTTTTTTTTTAAAATGCTTTTTTGAATCGTTCAAATTGGACGCTCTCAGTTCTCTCAAAAACTGAATTGCCATTTTTTACACTTTTCGCCCTGTATCTTCAAAATGGCTGGAATTGCCTTTGCAAAACTGATCAACACATCACCCCATCAGTAGGAATCGAATGCTTTAAAATTTAAATCATTCAAAACGGTTGATCCATGCTCTCAAAATCGTGGACAAAAATTTATATTCGTACATATATATATATTATACTACATACATCCATTTTTTCTAAGATATGCCAAAATGTTCATTTTCAAAATGTTGAAACGTAAAGATATGCAAAAATTTTCATTTTCAATTTTTTCGATTATTATAACTTACCCTTGGGAAAGTTAATAAAAAAAACAATATTCAGAGTTATTAAAATTTTAAAAGTCTATTAAAGAAATATTTGTTTCTTTCGAATCATCGCATCACAAACAAATAACATTAAATGCTTTTTGAAGACCCTTTGTACGCATTTGATGTATTTTATAGAGAATGTTTTTTAGTACTCGTAAACGGTACTCGCAAACCGTTAATGAACAAGATTTAGAAATTATTTTGTGTTTAATTAACCACCGGGTCAAAGTGGAGGTCCTCATATTACTGATAGTGAGATAATATGCAAATATATAATATGCTTATAATACTAAACTTATCCTAATATTACTTGCTAATTACTTATTAACTAGTGGGATAAGTTTATTTTGTTTCTTAAGTCCAAATCACAATTAAAATGGTGAAGAAATCACCAGATTAGATTACAATATTTCCAGCAACTTGGAAAACAGCAAAAATCATACAAAACCTAATTTAATATCTTGCTAAACGACAAAAGGCTGATACCAAATTTTGAGTTCGACTTCAGAAAGCGACACTTAACAATACATCACATGCATTGTGTGTGAATACTTTAAATTCCGCCTTTCATTTAAAAAACTACTGCTCCGCTATATTCCTTGATCTTCTTCAACAGGCATTTGACAAAGTTTGTCTATTTTACGTCTGTCAGAAAAATCATATCAAAAAAGAGCAATTCTATCTACAATTACTACTCTGCCAGAGCAGCACGCCTACATTTATAATCGTGATAAGAACAAACCAATTTGTAGCAGCAAAAAATATTTGAAAAAATAAACAATCGCAATTTATTTACAATAACAATGCCGAACATTAATTATGTGCTACACGTATTTAAGGAAGATGAAAACAAAAAGTAAGATTTGTTATTGTGTACATTGATTTTGATAATGAAAACAAACTGATTCATGATTTGGAATTAATAATGCAACAAACTGGCCACGCGGTGCTCAACACGTACAAAAAAAAATGAGATGCAACTACATCATATAGTTTTTTTTACATTTTTAATTACAATCTGTCGCACACAGAATATTTAGTAATTGTTTTGACTTTATTATACGGATTTTTGAATGGACGGCAACTCAGTAGTTGTCCAATCCAACTATGACTAATTAACTAATACTCGAAGTATTTGCTGACATAACACCATATAATTATATGTACAATAAATACTCTTTGCTAAATAAAGTACCCACGAATCAACAATACAAGTTGAAATAGTTTTTTTTACTGTAGCAATTCCAATTGATTAGATTTATTGAAATGAAAACTAAACTGCATCGCCCCACAAAATTATGAATTATCAAAATATAAATGACTATTAATTGACATCGTCTAATATTAAATATTTTCATTTAAATTCAATTCTGCTCCGGCATTATAATTGAATAGCAAGAATTGTTATTCAGCAAACTTTCAAAATAAGATAAGTTTTCAATTAAATATAGATTAATAGTATTCTGAAACTAATTCACATAATCAAAGAAAAATTGTTATTGAATCTGAATTAATGCTAATGCTTTTCAGCGAGAACTATTATTTAAACAAATGAACTGTGAATTGTTTAAAGTCTGATAATAAAATGTTGTGCGTAATGTCGTGTGAATTGCACTGTACTGATATCATAAAAGTTTAATGTTTCAAAACATCATTAGAAAAATTACGAGTTGATTAGGACAAAGAACAATGTAACGTTCACCTTATGCAATATAAAACGGAATCGTGAATACGAGAACACTATTTGCGCATTATATATTTATATACACCTTAATAGATTTATATTTGAAATTTTAATGTTGTAGACTAAATGTATGAATAGAGGTATATTATAAAATATTCCGAGCCTTATTAGATGTTTAAACTGTAATTATCTGTAAAACAGAATATTCGTGCATTAGAATAAGCTTTTTTGCGTTTTAATATAAAAACGTAGCATGTTTGTTTTTGTTTGTGTTTAAGACACTTGTCTAAAAGATATTTGAATAATTAATCTTTATTTGGCTATTATAAGTAAATACAAAAATTCAATAATAACAAATTGCACACCTACCCAATTGATATCAATACAATCATTCAAATTACATATTAAACTATGTTATACTGGAATTAACAAATATATGATATTAAAAATAATGGAAAAACTCTATAAAAAACCATAAACATACATTAAGATATGGTAGAATTAAAGACAGTAAAGGATGAGTAAGTTAAATATAAAGTAATAGAACATTTCACATGATATTTATGGAAATTAAAAAGATAAATTATGGGTAATTGCGAAGTTTGGAAATCTATAATTATTGTACCAAACCATATCTTAAGATATTGAAAGTATTTCACTACATTATACATGACCGAACGATAAAACTATAGTACGAAGTTCTTTGGTCATTTATTACGAATAAGCTGGATATGATCCTGAAATAACATTATTCATCCGCTTGCGAATAATTGGATAATACATAAAATCCAGTCCAAATTTAGATACTTTATTCTTAAGTATTTTTCAACTCTAAACTAACTGCTTAGCTAATATTTTTAATTGTAATTTTCACTCTATTTATAATATACTATACTTTTTTTAAACGTTGGACTATCAGTAACGAGTAACATTCGAAACAATTGTTGGACGTGAGATCTTGCACGATCACTTTTACCCGGTTAGAAAATATTTTAGATCAGTGTGTTATTAATAAAACAACATTCACGAATACATTACTGGCAAGGATATGCCTTCACTTTTAATAGGCTGTACATGAAACACCAGGGGCAGCATAAATCGACAACCGACGACTTCCGTGAAAATGAAATCGAATGGATAATTAAAACGAAAATTGTCTGAATTTACAACTCTACGTTTTTATTTCACATATAAACACTTTTTATTGAATTCAATATTTGCTTTAATTATTTAATACAGCTCAACTATTAATCTATTAGTTCGATTTTATTAACTTATTTATTTGAATACTTAAACTTATTTTATAATTTTATATTGAAGCATAAGTATATTATGGTTCAATAGTTTACTTTGACAACAAATATTAATGCTGGCAAAAATACAGCAACGTACAACTATTATCACATTTTCTCTATATAAAAACATGAATTTGCGTTGTATATATAAAACTCCGGATCTTAAAAGTCCGGTCTACCACCGATATCTCAAAAACAAGTAAAGTTGAAATTTTTTTTAACTAAAAATTTCAAAGTGGTGGAAAAACGAGCTAAACCAACCATCACCTTGATTCTTACAACGTCGTTATTGAGATATAAACGGCAATGTTCGAAAATCCATATCAAATGTATTTTCTTTCGTTATTAGAGTTTTTGGTCGTGAGCACTGTTGTTTAGTTTACAAGACCTTAATATAATTTTAAAGTCAACGGCATCTAAATGTTTTATAATATAAGATGTATTGGTATTTTTAAGTTAGGTTCAAGAGTTTTTTTGCTTCTATAAAAATATACATGTGGGTGGGGTAAAAGAAAACAACGGAACCTTTATCCTGGCAAAGCTGTAAACAATAGGAAAAAGTAAATAGAAGAATAGTTTAACAATTGAAAAAAAAAATTACAAGAGGAAAGTTAAAAGAACTTATTCTAACTCTGTTGATTATTTCTGACAAAGTACCAGATCAAGGGCTAATATACATAATATATAACATTGTTATATCTGCAAAAAATGTATCCATGAAATTTATATTTTGCTTTGGTTGTAGCAAATATTTTGTAAAATCTCTTAATATTAAAAGTAAGACATTGTATCTGCTTACCCCCTGACCGTCCCAATTTACTCGGTCTATGGGGTAAAAACGACCAGGTCACAAATTTTTGAGAAATAGCAAAAGGACACATTTATAGAATGATGACTTATTGTTAGCTAGGAGTTTGACTGAACATGGTCAGATAGTTGTTGATTTGTTAAAATATAATTGGTTTAGTTTTCACAATATTATTAGTTGAAGTCAAATT